TTTTTTTATATTATTATTATTATCTGTTACGACAACAAACTAGTCGCAGAAACTCAACATAGTGAAAACAGGAAGCATGACGGTCGCAAAGTGCAGAGCGCCCCCTACCGTACCGGAGTATGTGGAACAGGTTCTGCTTTTTAAAAAAAATTACTCAGAAAAACAGAAAAAAATTACTAAAAAAAACAGAAAAAAATTACTCAGAAAAACAGAAAAAAATTACAAAAAAAAGAAAAAAATTACTCAAAAAACAGAAAAAAATTACTCAGAAAAACAGAAAAAAAATAGTCAGAAAAACAGGAAAAAAAATTGTCAGAAAACCAGAAAAAATTATTCAAAAAAACAAACCAAAAAATAAATTACTCAGAAAAACCGGAGTTTATATTTTTGCAATACACTTCTGTACCAATGAAACCAGTTCCTTATAAATCTATTATTCTCCCAACTAATCATGTAATCAAACTGTAAGCGAGGAACGAGGAAACTACGTCACTTCCTTACAACCGATCTATAAAACACCCGCGCTGTCGTCACCGGATGGTGTAAAACGACGCGTAGCTTATCCGGTGAGTTTGTAGATCTGCGTTTCCGCGAAGTCTCATGTGACTGTCTCTTTTTCCTCGGTAGTGAAAAACAGAAGCACAGCTCATTTATTGTGTTGCCGGTAAACGATGTGACACAATTCTTCCAGTCTTTCTTGTTTCTTGTTGTTTTACTTTCACCACAACGCGCCGGGCTGCCTTTAAACAAGTGTCTGCTGGTGTAAAACCCTTCACAAGGTGAGCTGTTGTTCTCTAAATGTTCATGTAAGTGGTCGTCAAACTGTAATACACCAGTTTCTGCTGGTTAACTAGATTAACTGTGTTACTGTAACCCATTAAATGCAGGTGCTGTGTGCTTACATACACTTGTTTGTATGTATATCTGTTCATGTCTGATATATAACAGACATCCACTTAATAATTAATGTGTTTTTCTCCTTTTAAACTAGCTCAAAAATGTTTGTGTTGGTGTTATTTATGATAATAAACATATTTGACAGTGCTGTGCTGTGTTTTAGTGCAGTAAGGATTAGTTAATGAATTACACAGTAAATTAATCAGTTAATTTTTTTATAAATTGGTGAATAATTTAAAAAACAACAACAGTAAAATGACCTAATATCTGTTAGTTAAATCTACTACAGGTAGAAGTTTGTTTCTGTTTCATGTCATTATAAATGGACTACTGTGTCTTTCAGTTTGACAAATCAACCTATTTAAAAACATTACTTTGTGCTGAGTGCATTAGTTTATATATAATTTTATATATATACAGTCATTGTTACAGGAAACAGGGTTGGTGGAGAAAACTTCGCCGCTGTAACACTAGGAAGTAGAAATAGGCAATTTAATGTGATATAATGCATTAATTGTTTTAGAGAAGAGAGGTGACTTGAGTTGGTTTTCTGAGGATCTCATGATATGCTCTCACATAGTTGCACGGATACTTACTTGCAGATGTGGTTCACGTGGTCATGGCAAATAATAAATGCTTTGTCATGCAAAAAACCCAGACAACCTGTGAAATATAAGAGTTTTCTCAATTTTACAGCATTTTTTATGCCAAACAATTAGTGGCACATTAATCGATAATGAAAATAATAATCAGTTGCAGATCCTAAAAAGTAAAGTAGGCAAAGTAAATGATTTGTGTCACAACAATTATCGTTGTTTGTATCATATCTTTCAAAATTACAGTTGCGAAGTGCTTTAAAAACACTCAAATTGATTGAAATTCCACACTCCACAGCTTTAGGGGCCCTGATAGTAAACAGCTGATCACCAATACTCTCACAAGTTAAAAGATCAGGAATATATTCAGGGACCGGGTCCAGAAAGTGGCGGCCAGTGAAATCTTAAAATCAATGAAAGCAGATCTTAAAAACAGTTAATCAGTCAGACATCTCCAGAACAAATCACACACAGATTAGTGTTTAAAGAGCAATTAAAAGATAAGATTGAGGGAATACAGAGTCACTATCTGACTGATTTAGGATACTAGACAGACAAGTTACAGCAAACATTGATGATGACTGACCCACTGAGGTTGGGAAGTCACTGACTGAGAGCACTGATATTATATAATTAGAGCCACAGATGTCCTCTCACACTGCCAGTCTCTCTGGTTTGCTTCCTTCTTGTACACAAACTGATACCTACCGTAAGTTTGTAATGGCAAACGCATGAGGAAACAACTTCTTTACAACTGCATTGTTTTAATTCACAATTAGTGGATTTATCAATTAAGTTGATTGTCAGGAACTATTTTTTATAATCATTTGTTTGTTTAAGTCACTTATTGAGCAAAAAATGCCAAATATGACCTTGTTTTAGCTTTTTAAATGTGAGCTTTTGCTTCTTTTCTCTCTTTTATGTGATTGTAAATTATATTTCTTCAGGTTTTGTGCTTTTGAGACAAAATACATTTGAATTTGAGGATGTAACTTTGATTTGTCACTGTTTTCCAACCTTTATAGACCAAATGAGCAGTCGCTTAAATGAGGAAATAATCAGCCAATTATGAATACAGTCAGTGCAGTGTTAGTCTGGTATGTGCTGACCAACACGTTTTTGGACAGGGGGGATTCAAAGCTGTAAGCATGACTGCTTTTGGTCAAACATTTAGGTTCAAAGGTTTTAGGTAGCTCACACGTTCCTCAGACAAAACAAATTGACTTGAAACATAAAAACTTGCTGATATTGTCTAGACAGGATGAACATGTGTTCAGCCAAATCTGTCAGACAGCAGCGATCATTTAAGGGTCATTCACCCTCACTCTAACTGTTTACTGATGTGATAACCTCCGACCAGCTGCTTCTTTGTGCCATTCTTGTCCTGTGATAACACTGCATATCTCTGCTGTCATGAGAAATTCTCGACCTCTCTTGACATTACAAAATCTAACCAACCTTTCCCCCTTTAACTTGTTGGTTAACGAAAATATATGTTTCTCAGTTCCTGAATATCAGTTCTTGCAACAAGTTTTCTCCTGCGAGAAACATCATGAGTTGGGATTTTTCCGCCCATCAAAGCTAAATGATGAGAGAAGTGAAACAATGACTACATATGGCAGTAACAGTGACTCTGCATCTCTGTCCACTCTATATCATTTAATATCTCAAATTAAAGTTATTATTGCCACCAAGACTGATCAGTTATATTCATTTAGGGCTGCAACTAACTTATTATTTTCATTACTGATTAATTGTTTGTGTACAAAATGTCATAAAATAATGAATAACTTCCAATAATTGAAGGTGATTTCTTAAGATTTCTTGTTTTTTTTCTTACCAATAATCCAAAACATAAATATATTCAGTTTATTGTCATGTTTGACAAAGGAAAGCTCTTAATCTTGATATTTAAGAAGCTGTATTAAAGCGTTTTTACCCACAACTCCTCACGTTTCCATCATTATCTGTTCGTACCAACGTTCAGTTTGGTTGCCTTTGGTTACACAAAACCACGTCGGTAAGCCTGGAAAGAGATGTGTGTCAACGGGTGGTTTTCTCACTTCCTGAAAAAGGTTTTTGAAGATAGAGGGGGGTTTTATCCAACAACAACAGCACCCGTATATTGTGTTTGGATTTGAACTTGATCACATGTTCCAGTTCAGTTCTTCCTCCTTCTGCAGTGAAGCCATTCTGATCAATAACTCTTAGTTTGGAGAGTTCGGTCAAACTTTTCCAACATCGTGTGAAATCAGGAGGTATCGTTGTCTGTTTTTGGGCTGCACACTTATTAGAAATATTATGGAACAGCATTATAATGATTTACTGTAGAGCTGCAGAGACACCCTGGTCTACAGATCTTCTTCTCTAGATGAAAGGAAGCTTTTTTTTGTTTGTAACAGACCCCAAAAAAATGATTTTAATCTTTTTTTTTTT